TCCCTCCATCCCACTCATCAATTCATGCGTAGTGAACAAACAAGGTGTAACAAGCGCACTGTCAGGTAGTTACTCGCTCAGACAATTCCAGACACGATCAGACGTGTTTGATGCATGTGGTAGCCAGGGTGATGGAGTGGAGGGAGGGAGGGAGGGAGGGAGGGAGGGAAGAAGGGAGGTAGCTAGAGAATGAACAAGGGAAGGAGGGATGGAATGAGGGAGGGAGGGAAGTAAGGAGGGAGATAGGGAAGGAAGGAAGAAGAGATGAAAGGAGAGAAGAAGGGAGATAGAGAAAGAAGGAGAGAGGGAGGGAAGGAAGGAGGGAGGGAAGGAGCTAGGGAAGGATGGAGCGAGGGATGGAAGGGGGGAGGGAGGAAAGGAGAGAGGGAACAAATAATAGTGAGAGACGGAGAGTATAAGTGTGACTACATACACTGGTGAGAGAATACATATCTCTGGACTCTGATTGGCTGTTAGCCTTTGTGACGTAGGCCAATGTTTACATATCTCTGGCCTCTAATTGGCTGTTCGTCATGTGACGTCATCCAATGTTTATATATTTCTGGGTTATGATTGGCTGTTGGTCATGTGACATTCTTGAAGTAGAGATATTTAATTAGGTTATTATTATTATTAATGTTACAATAATAATAATAATAATTATTATTATTATTATTATTATTATTATTATTATTATTATTATTATTATTATTATTATTATTATTATTTTTATTATTATTATTATTATCATTATTATTATTATTATTATTATTATTATTATTTGACAATCTCTAACTCTCTATCTGAAGTCATGTTCTCTCTCTCCTTCTCTCTCTCTGTCTGAAGTCAACCTGGGTTCCATCATTTTCCTGACGTCAGCAGTGACAACGGCGACGTCAGCAGGAAACAGCGACTTCAGCCATTTTTACCTGAAGACGATGATGATGTCATCGGCTTTAACAGTGACGTCACAAGTGTCAGCCTGATGTCACTGTATTGAGCTGCCGTCTGTTGACACGGAGAGGACGGGGGTTTAGGGGGTAGGGAGAAGGAGGGGGTTATAGAGTAGGGGAGGGGAGGGAGGTATGTTTGTATTTTCCTGTCAGTCTGTCAGCCTGAGATGCCAGACGTCAGTCTAGCACCCATCTGAGATGTCAGACGTCAGTCTGGCACTCTCAGGAGATATCAGACGTCAGTCTAGCACCCTCATGAGATGTTAGACATCAGTCGAGTATCCTCTTGAGATGTTAGACGTCAGCCTGGCATCGTCAGTCTGCATGAGAGAGGTAGACGTGAGGTAGAGAAGGGTGTAGAGAGAGCCTTCAGCTTCACTAGTACCGTCCACTCCACCATCTTCCTGATGCTTGATAGTCCTGCAGAACTTTGCAGTAGTAGATAGTACTGCTGGTAGACTACACCCCCCTCACTCTCTCCCTCTCTCTCCCTCACTCTCTCTCTCTCTCCCTCACTCTCAGTAATCACTGCCTCTAGCCTGCCACTGAGAGCAGTACTCTCCCACTTGTTGGTGAGGGGGAGAGGGAGAGGGGAGGGGAAGGGGGAGGGAGGAGAGGATGCAAGAGAGAGAGGTAGGGAGGGAGGGAGGGAGGGAGGGAGGGAGAAGTACGTATGCGCGAGTGTGTGTATACAGTGAGATATACAACCCTCAGTGTACATACACTGAGATAATACTCTGAGTGGAGGTGACCTGCCACGTCACTGCTATGTCACTGCTACGTCACTGCCGCGTCCTCACAGTGACTCACAAGTGAAGGGTAGGGAGAGAGTCTTCAGCTTCACTACCATGAGATTATTTCTCACCATGACCTCTCTGTCTCTCAGCAGAGTCTCTCTATCTCTCACCAGTGTCCATCTCTCAGCAGTGTCTCTCTCTGTCTCTCTCTACAGGGCATAGCATCCTTCACCAAGCTGGCAGAGAAGTCCGGGATCTGTATAGCTGTGTCAGAGAGAATACAAAGAATCACCAAGCCAGAAGACTTTGATCTTATTATTGAGAGGCTGTATACTAAACCTCAAGCCAGAGTTATCATTATGTTTGTGGACGAAGATAACACCAGGTGAGTACTTGTTGTGGTGGAAGATAACACCAGGTGAGTAGTTGTTGTGGTGGAAGATAACACCAGGTGAGTAGTTGTTGTGGTGGAAGATAACACCAGGTGAGTAGTTGTTGTGGTGGAAGATAACACCAGGTGAGTACTTGTTGTGGTGGAAGATAAGACCAGGTGAGCACTTGTTGTGGTGGAAGATAAAACCAGGTGAGTAGTTGTTGTGGTGGAAGATAACACCAGGTGAGTACTTGTTGTGGTGGAAGATAACACCAGGTGAGTAGTTGTTGTGGTGGAAGATAACACCAGGTGAGTACTTGTTGTGGTGGAAAATAACACCAGGTGAGTACTTGTTGTGGTGGAAGATAACACCAGGTGAGTACTGGTTGTGGTGGAAGATAACACCAGGTGAGTACTTGTTGTGGTGGAAGATAACA